AAAGCAACAGTCATCAAGGATGTATGTCTTTCCAATAAGTGTGTTTATCTCGGAGGGGTGCTGTTAGATAGATCACGTGTGTTGTGATTCATTGACAGGCAAACCTTCCGCTGTTCAAGATAATGATGACTGGTAGATTATTAGTTATTAGCGGTACTGCATTTAAATTTTAGAAATCGTAAATCTGCTTATGAATTATAAAAATTAGTAAGACCGCTAAAGTGCAAACGAAATATTTAGGTCCGCAATTAGCAGATTTGTGCTTTAGCGGGCTGGTGCCCACCACTGCCGTTGCCTGTGTCATCTGTCTGTTAATTAAGACAATTTTGTATCCTAGGCAGGAGCTATGTTCTCTGTGTTATTCCAGATTAAATATATGTCCTGCGACTTATGTTTTTTTTTCCCCTTTTCTTGACGCATTTTTGTCTGGAAAATTCAAGGGTGGTTTGTGACACCTTGGGTTGCCAGTCTAGAAAAGGATTAGCTTTTTTGGCTTATATTTGTCATCCTTATTTATTTCTCATTTGTACAGAGTGAACCATTTATATAGATGCACCTAAATAAAATGGGAATGCTTGGTGTTGATTAACTTCTTGTTTGTGGCACATTAGTATTTGGGAGGGGGGAAACTTTTCAAGATCAATGGTGACCACGGTGGCCATTTTGAAGTGAAACAATGGATACTGGAAGCCTGTGCCAGCATTTCTTCTGCGATGTTGCTATCAGTGGGAGAATAATGGGCAGCGCTTTGAACACATTTTATAAGTGATCAAAAACTTGTAAATAACTAATGAAAGAATAAAGTTATGTTAAAACCAAGCATACCATTGCTTTTCTTGTGAAATTTTCAATAAGTTGGATGACCCATTGGAAAAGCTAAATTTGGATCCAAAATGGCCAACTTCAAAATGGCCGCCATGGTCACCACCAATGTTGAGAAGCTTCCCCCCATCAAAATACTAATGTGCCACAAACAGGAAGTTAATATCACCAACCATTCCCATTTTATTTAGGTGTATCCATATAAATGGCTCACCCTGTAGTTGGTAGCATCTGCTCCGTGTCTTCTTCACTATTTGTGGTGTATTTTTGTTGCAGCATTAGAATGACGCATACAGGCCTGCTGTAGTTACTACAGTATTTGGGTTGTTTCTTGCATATCTGTGTGGATGAAAACATTTGTAGAAACTGGTTCATGTTTGCAAGGATAATTGTAGAAATGAAGAATTAGAGCTTGTTTATGAAAGACTGTTCCCGTGTCGATGGAAACTTTAGTGGATGCTGATAAGCATCTTACTGAAGCTGCTGTTTAAATGGCCTCTTATGGTTTTTTCCCCTCGTTTTTTTCCCCTTGAGGGTGATGTTTTTCCCATGGCTGGCACTCCATGGCCACGTCAGCACCACCAGTGCTACAGATGACACAGAAGGGAGGGGGGGATTTGTGTGTGTGTGTTTCTTTTTCTTTTTTTTTATTCTGATATGTCAGCACTCGTGCGTCAGTTTGATGTAAAAGAGAGGGTGTCATCCTCCACCACCACCTTATTGTTTTTTTTCTCACTTGCATAAGAGCCCCTCGTCACCTTTTGCTCACCTTGCTGGTCCTTACAGACTCTGAGTCTACATTCACAAAGCCTTTCAATCTAAATAGACAAAACATCGGATGCTAATGTGATTCATCAGATTTGCTGTTAGACAGCATCAGCAGAGCTAAGAAAAATTGCCCTAATCAGTCATTAGGCAGGTGCACAGCTGAGCACTGTGTGGCATAATTTTCATCTAATTTGTCTTAAAAGTGAGTGGAGTTAACAGTAAACACTTTGAACTCCCACTCAAATTATATTCTAACATGAAAGTAACGATGGCTGAGCTAGTGCGACTTCCTTCATTTAGGATGAGATCTTCCCGTCTGTCAGCACAGTCCTCGCACACATGCTGTGTTCTCAGGTAGAGAAATGACTCACTGTTTAACTGGCCGTTTGATTTTTAACAGGCGTACCTGTTAGCTGTTTCACATCAGTTCATTAGCCGGTAGGAAGTGCGGTGCAGTTTCACTGGTCTGTGTGCTTCAGCTGCATCTCACTGGGAGGCTGCTGCTGATGTATTTTGTCGCGGCGTGACTGACTGATAGCGCGGTTCACTGGGTCAGATGGATAAGATTATGATGTGGTAAAGCATGTTTGTTGCAGCGCTACGGCAGAAAAATGCAGACAGCAGATGAGCGAATGATACAATTTCACTCGGATTGAATCTATTTGTGATAGATGGTCCAACAGAGTATAACTCCAGAAACGTAATCTAACCAACAATCCTAAAAACAAGTTATGACATCCATGCCACATCTCCCCTCCAGTCACAAAACTCACTTGTAGTATTTTAATGCAAACAAAGCCAGCTTCTCTGTAAAGATGTCACCTGCTGCAGAAGAGCACAAGCTGGGACTGATCTAACTATGCAAGATCTTTGTTTACAATACGGTGTCAACTTTATCTGTTAGCCAAATTTATTATGAGCCACTGGACAAATTTTAAATTAACTTGCAGGAAATAATCAATGGATTTACTTTTGGAGTAATTCCAATTCAAGATAGCCACCACAGTCAACTGACCTTAGCAAACTAGCAAACATTGTTATAATTTAGTCAGTTTTACAGATATTGTGCTAAATCTTGGTGTTTTAGTAGCTGATAGTCATTCACAACACAAACTCCCAAATGCTACTCATTGAGTGAGTTCTTTGCCTGAAATGTTAGCATTAAGTTGATCCTGTTTGTCTGTTAATAATAACTAATAATAATAATAATAATAATAATAATAATAATAATAACTTTGTTGATGTAGCACCTTCCAACAATGCCTTGCAATTACCAAAGTGCTTAACAAGATAAAACAAATAAAAACATGGCACACTAAATCAGAGTGGGTTAAAAATACAACCACAATAAAAGTAAGTAAGTAAACTTTATTTACATAGCACCTTTCACAGGTCAGAAACCACAAAGTGCTTTACAAAAAGACATAAAAATGCAAGAGATAAAACAAGAGATAAAACTAGATAGATGTAACAAAACATACATGTGATAAAAATATTACATGTTGGAAAAAAATTGAATTGATGAAAATTGAAAAGAAGGTAAAAATACATAAAAATACTCAAAATTAAACATCAATTCATATTCTGAGTGTGACCTCTCAGGTTGTTGCATAGGTTTGTGCATAAAGATAATTTCAGGGTTTGATCAAAACAGCTACATCACATGATCTTCGTCTAAAAACTGGCATGAACGGCAATGGGCAATATGTATTCCTATTAAAGAATCATGGTCCTTTTAAGGGTCAGCTCCATCCATCAGGCAGTCAGGATGCTCATCTCCCGCCCTGCTCTACCTCCCTCTCTTCCTACGATCTAACACAAACTTTGGTTTGTAGAGTTCACAAAATAGACAATTTCTAACACTGAACTAGGTCTGAATTATCACCTTACATGTCTGTGTGTGCTTTTAATTTGCACTACTGTATATATTTGCATTAATCATTAATATTATCGCTGTACTTTTATACCAAAATCAGGGACTTTATAAATATGTCATGGACTTTAAATATACATATGTCACTGTTTACGGGAACTTTTATGCACGCTTCTATTTCTAATTAGTTTAGCCGTATATTTATGTTTTTTTGCTTAATGTTTTACTGTCTACTTTTGATGTATGGGGTCTGAGAGTAGTGTAATTTCAATCCTGTGTATGTCCTGTACATTATGCGGATTTGACAGTGAATCAACTTTGACCAGTTTATCCCATCATTGAGCTCTGAACCCTTATCTTTTAAGACGTCCCTGCACAACAGTAAATTCTGTGTTCATGTGTATTATTTTGAAAGTTGCAGCTGTTATGACTGTTGACCAGTAGCACCCAGTAAAATTTTATTGTATCTTTTTATTAGTCTGTTTCAGCAGTTGGTTTGTGTCATCTCAATGCAAGCTGGGATAGTTTCTAGAGACTTTCTATTTTTTTTTTTTACTCATGAAACTGGGTTGCAGTGGTGTACCTGCGTGAAACTTCAGTTACAGTCCCATGAGAACGTGAAGCGGAGTAGCACCTAAGAGAAACGGTTCTGGATGTCGGTGTGAGAGGACAGGGTTTCAGTGCGTCATTGTAGGGCCTGTCCTCAGCAGCTGTGAACCCATTAAAGGGGCTTTTTCCTCAACACATTATCAGTAAAATGAAGGAAAATCCCTTCCTCGTGCGTTTTCTTGGAAGGTCAGTAAAATCCCTCTGCTCTTTTGTGTGATATCTGGCGTTCCATTGTTTCTGTCTTAAGGTTTAAAATGTGCGAACTTGGCTCATGGATTGCTCAGTTCGAGGTGTTTTTGCTGAGCTGTCACTTTTCTGAGCTGAGCTAAGCCACTGAACTGGTCTCGACAACAGAGCAGGAAACTTTGTTTCTCAGCAGTTTTAGAAAGAAGCACTCCATACATTTGCAATTTTTTTCCCAATATGTCTTATAAATAAATGAATGGAATGAAACGGGACTGAAAATGTAACTGTTGTGCTTTATATTCTCCTTCATATTTTCACACTAGTGAAAGCAAAATGTGAGATTTGTGTTTATTCAGGGTCCGATTTTATAAATTAAAACACCTAAATGATTTTTAAAGTATTATTTAATCTTTATAGCATTTTGTGTACAACCTATACAGTCCACCTTTTGCAGAATATTGTTAAAATAAATAATTTTTGACATTTTTTATCCACTCATTACATTTGTTTGCATTGTGATGCATGAAAAATTAAAAATAACCCTCACCTTTAGTTTTTAATTGAGTTCAGCCTGCTTTGTTTCTGAGAAATATCTTCTCTTTAATCTTGCGAGTCTGGCTAGACCTCAGATACAATTTCTGCTCTATTTGCGGCCCCTCTACTCTCATCACATTTATCAAAGATGAACCAGCTGCTCGTCCTGAGCGACGGTGTTTGATCTCATTCTTTCCCTTCTTCGCAGGTCCTGCTCAGGTTCCCATGATGTCTCCAAATGGTTCAGTGCCTCCAATCTATGTGCCTCCTGGATATGTGTCACAGGTGGTCTTTCTGAACCGTTCCCCCACCAGTGTCAGACTGTCATCTTATATAAACTCTGAGCAGATTTGATATTTGTTTACAGCGCTCGCCTCTGTTTGCTTCCTCCTAGATCATAGAAGAGAACGGAGTGCGGAGGGTTCTGGTTTTACCTCAGCAACCAGATTTCCACCCAGGGGGGCATTCCCCTCTACACCACCCTCCACCTCCTCCCCACGCGCACCTGCCTGCCTTCATACCGCATCCCGCCATGATCCCCCCTCCACCTCACCTTTACACAGGCATGGCAGGCGGCGTGGGCGACTTGAGCTCCCAGTACATCTCCCAGTACCATCCAGCTCATATCTTCTCAGAGCAGGGTGAGACGGAACCAGCGACGCTTCTTTTTGTTATCTATCTCCCCGTTCAATTGAGTCGACTTGTTTAGTGTCTCCTAACCTGATGTTTCTTCCTCTTAATAAGCTTATTTTTGTCCTTTCAGTCTCTACAGATTCTCACTCTCAACATGGACGCCCATCGTTTGTTCACAGAGACGACAGAACTAGCAAAACACACGAACGTCTTCAGAAGAAGCTGAAGGAGCGACAGGGTGGTGGTGGTGGAGGAGGAGGAGGAGGGCAGGTCAAGGACAGTCCCCCATCATCACCGCAGAAGTCCAGCAACAGCCCCCCAGTGGTGGACATTCAAAACGGCGTTGGGGGAAAAGGGCTAGAGGCAGAGCACAGGCACATGGTAGCCTGCTCTGATAAGCAGATAGGAAAAGGAAAAAATGGAGAGTCGAGAGGTAAAGTTTGTTAGTTTTTATGTAAAGGGTTGATATTAAAGGGGACATATCATACAAAATCCAGTTTTTTAGCTGTTAAATACATTTTGTTGTGTCCTTGGAGTCTCTAGTAGTGCAGAAAAGCTGAATTTAGTTTTTCCTGGTGCTGCAAAGATAACTTTACTTTCTGTTTGGGTCATATTTTTCAGCCTGTTAAGTTTTCTATGATGTTTTCTGAACTGTTACATCAATTACCGTATTAGGTCTGGACTTACCAACTACAATTTCCTCGTCTTCATGCTGGATGAACAAGTCTTCTGTTGCTCACATCTTTTAATTAAATTGTAAATTATTTTATTTATTTGCCATTATTTATCCAAGGAAGTCCCATTGAGATCTCGGATATTTTTTTTCAAGGAAGGCCTGGGCCTGAAGGCAACCTGTTGTACATGTTTTTGAGTTGTGGGGGAAACCGGACTACCCGGAGAAAACCCACTCCAGCACGAGGAGAACATGCAAACTCCGCACAGAACCGACCTTGCTGTGAGGTGTCGTGCTGCCAAAAAAAAGTATAAACGTTCAACGTTTCTACATGCTAGAAAACCTAAACATCTCGCAAACCGGAGTGGACCGGTCTGGAAGTAGGAGGGGGGCGGGGCTTGAAGCATCTTAAAGGAACAGTAACAAAACCAGCTGCTTTGAGACACAGCAGAAAAGGGGTGAAAGAGGAGCTGGTAAAGTTAGAATAAGGAGGAATTCAAACCAAAGCATTGTAGCTCCACTTTATAAAGACCCCAACTGAATGATTTAAAATTTAAAAGAAAGGATTAAAAGCATCATATGTCTACTTTAAGACAATAGGGTAGAATTTAAAAAAGTTTATTCTTCATTTTCTATTTCAAACATAATGCTGAGCTGCTCTTTTTTATTCTTCGTCCAAATTACGTTGGATTTTTTTAAAAAGGGGAAACCTCACTCAGTTTTTTAAATATCTATATTTACATCTAATTTACAGCTTGTTGGATTTTACTTATACAAAAAAACAGCAGATAATCCTGTGATCATTATTATCTGACTTTAGTTATCATTTTTAAATTGTGTTTGTGTGTTTATTCTAATTTAAATGTCTTTTTCTCTTATCAGAGCTTGACAAAGAGGCTCAGGCGCTGCTCGCATGTTTGAGTAACATCAGTAAACCAGTGGTTGGTATTCATTTTTATCCATCTTATTTTTTTTATGCCTTTGTCAAAATAACCTGTTTGTTTGAATGTACTTGACTCATTTATTGATCATTATGACCTTTTTGCAAAATGCATCCATGTTGGATTTATTTTCTTCTGAAGGTGCCACCAGTGCTCACAGTTAATAAGGAATATTCATTTTGCTTCCAACAAAGAGATGGTTTTAAAATCTATTTTAAATCTGGCCACATCTTCCTGGTTCAGTAATCCACAATACATTTGTGGAAAAAGTGTGAAAAGCATGCAAATGTTTTCTGCAGTTATTTTAATACTCACAGTAATAATGATCTGAAATAATATTTCAGTAGAATAGCTGTTCAGTGGCTGGATTGGTACTGGTAAAAATGCAAATCGATTTCATAAAAGTGGATTTCCCCCATTCTTCTTTTAAAGTCTAAACTCCGTGTAAAAGTTTTAAAAGAATCTGGTCTAAGGAATGCAGGAAAAGTGTAGTTTCAGTAAAAAGTGTTTTTTTATCTGCAGCTATCTGTTAAACCATGCTGGTTTTTAAAAGGCAATGAATTGAACTGTAGGAAGTGAAGGACTAAGGTGAGGCCCCGAGGCTTCAGGGTTGGAGTTCCAGACTTGACCTGATTGAGTTTTTCCACACATGAATCCTCGCCTGCAGTGGAGCTCAGACTGTTTAAACCTCTAAACAGAATGAAAAAAAAAAATCTGAGTTGCACAGAACATCCCTGCAGCCAAAGAAATGTTCTTGATGCTGCATCGGCTTGCATACTTTCAGTCCTGGCTTTCTTCCTCCACTGAAAGTAGAGGTTGTTGTGAAGTTTTTAGCACAAGAGACACGACTTTTATTTTGAAAATAAATTGTGAGACAAAGCAGGATTGCCATTTCATTAATCAGAGTTTAATCTGGTTTATTAAATGTAAATTAGAAGTTAGACTTTTAGTTTTTGTGACAGGAAAGAAAAGTTTAATGTTAATATAGATTTTTAAGAGTGACGCAGGAAATTTTCCTATGCTAGGTGTCGGACATCCAGGCCAGAGGAGCGCTCGTCACCTGGAGTGAACCCACCAGGCCTGAGAGCGAGAAGAGCACAGAGGATGACTCGCCCCTCCCAGATCCCCTCAGCTTTGAGGTCTCCATCTCTATTACTGGAAAAGATGGGAAATACCAGAGCAAGTACTGGTGAGAAGGAGCAGGACCCTGCAGGGATTTGAGCTAACTGATATCAGGGATCGCAAAAAAATAACTAAAACCTTTTGTTTTCCTTTGATGCAGTGGGGAAGGACTTAACGCAACTGTAGAAGACCTTCGACCAGCGACAGACTATCACGTCAGGTCGGCATGACCCTGTTTGCTTTCATTTCTGTCAATAATCTGTGAAAACCTCGGTTAAACACTGCTTTTCCTTAGGGTCCAGGCCATGTGTAACTGTTTACTGGGGAGCCCGTCTGAAGCTGTGAGCTTCACCACGTTAAGCTGTGAGCCAGATCCTCCCAGTCCTCCCAGGAAGGCCAGTGGGAACAAAAACACACTTTCACTTCAGTGGAAGGTACAAAAAAAATGGTTTGCAGTAACGGTAAAAAATAGTATATTCTTACAAGGTTTTAGAATTACTTAAAAACATCTTAAGATGAGAAGTACGACTGTGCAGATTTTAAAACCGGTTCGAAACGCAGGAACGGCCAATTTAATATGCCGATTTTTGACGGAAATGTCACGGCTTTAACTGAGAGGTAACACAATACTTCACTAAATAGAGACAATATAGGGAGCCATTTGCAGTATGGATATTAATGACTATGGGGAGCAAACATTGTATGTAGTTGTTAAATACATTTAAAGAATCAACAACTAAAATTAATGTTTGTGACAAAACCAGTGGCTTTCATAAGAAAGGCCCAGTGCTAGAATTTAATTGAACTAGATGTTGCATAGCAGTAGCAAGTATGACCTCCTAATGTATGTAAAGCACCAATACACCAGATTTATTGTTTTGGTTGGGGGTGTGAGGGGGTGCTCATTGGTGGGCCCGATGTATAACCCTTCATCAGAGCTAAAAAAAAAAAAAAAAAAAAAAAAACCTGAAGCTCCTATGTTGAGTAGTTTTTGAGTTATAAGCATTTTTGTAAGTCCAGACACTGTGTTTTTAGATGGAGCCCCCTCCTCAAATATGGGGTCTATTGTAAAACTGTTGGCTGGCGCAGTGTAGGTTGGACACATCCACATTCCTGCCAAATTTCATGTTGATCAGTGACACGGTTGACCAAAGATCACTGGAATAAAGTGTGCAAATGAACCTAAATGAACCGTTTGTTTCTACGACAGGCTCCATGCGACAATGGATCCAAAATTAAAAACTACATTCTTCAGTGGGACGAGGTAACATTTTATTTTGAAGATTCTTGTTTAATATGAGCAGCTTTGATTTTAAGTTGCAATTTGTGAAACTATTTTTTTTTCCCTAAAGGGGAAGGGTACAAGTGTTTTTGAACAGTGCTACTATGGACCTCAGAAACTGTACAGAGTGACCAAACTGTCTCCAGCTTCAAGATATTCCTTCCGCCTCGCTGCAAAAAACGACATGGGAGTGAGGTAAGCTCATCTGAAAGCTGGAACGTTACCTGGAAGGCACCCTCGCTGTTGTCCGTTTTTATGTTACGTTTTTCCTTCCATCTAACTGTCTCCATCCGTATGTCCATTTACATGTCTCACTCTGTCTCTGCTGTCTCTTTCCCCCATCCTCTCCCGTCCTCTGTCTCTCTCTCTCTCTCTGCCCTCCCCAGCGAGTTCAGTGAAGTGGTGGACCTGTTCACCTCATGCAGTGTGCCATTGCCACCCTTCCCTCCAGAGCTGGAGATGGCAGGAGTGACCTGGCTGTGTCTGAAGTGGCAGAGGCCCAGCAGCTCACCAAAAGAAGATGACATCTACTACATTTTAGAGATGGAAGAAGAAGGCTTGGTATGTATGTATATGAGGGACCGAATCTGGCATGATTAGAAATAAAAGCAGAAAAATATTAATGGACCTATAAATAAATACACTTAAAATGCACCAATTAAATAAATAAAAACAAACTTTACCTCATGTTTTATAATTTAATTGACTTTCATATTTATTTTTCCAGCTTAGTTCCTATAAATTATATATTTTAGAACATAATTCATGTTTTATATTTTTTATTTTTTATTTTACTTATAAATGCAATTGTCTCTTAAATAATTACATTTAATTATTTTTTCCCACAAGTCTTTTTATTTCCATGTTGTTTTTACATTTCTCTGTCTTCTGTTTTTACTTATGCATTTCTGCCTCATTATGCAAATAAGGTGGGCGGTCCTTGTTGGGTCAGCTCCTCCAATTGGTCAACAGACAGGAAGTGGCAGGATCCATATGCAGTTTAGCTTAAAATTTAAAGTTTGCTTTAAAACAAAGGCAAGGAGGAAAACAATTACCTGTGCCTTTGTAGTTAGGTAAAGTTAAAACAGGAGACGGAGAAATGTAAAAGCAACACATGGGAATAAAAAGACTTGTGGGATAAATTAAAAAAAATAAATATATTCGTTTAAGAGGTCAATTAAATTATAAAACATGAGATAAAGTTCTCCTTTTTAAATTTAATTTGTGCATTTTAAGTGTATTTATTCTATTTATATATTTCTGCTTTTATTTTTAATTATGTCAGTTTCGGTCCTCCATAGATATTTGCACATAAACATTTTTGGTTCAGTATTCTTTGTAAAAGCAAAAAAGTCATCCAACATACACAAAGTTCACTATAATACTGATTTTTTTTGTTTATTTTATATTGTAGCTTGTATTTGAATATAAACCTGTTATTTTATGTGAAAGTTTAACTGAAATGTATCAAAAAAGAAATACAAATGTTAAATGTAAAACATTTGGCTTAAAAAATGAAGAGCTTTATCACCACTTGGACTTCACACAGTTCTTGCAGATTTAGCACCCAGTTAAAAGTTCCTCTCACACCTGTAGCTGTTCCTCCCACAGATCACTTTGTTTTCCGTGCTGTGATGATTGTTGAGTGAACGATTGCTCAGCTGGTGGTTCTGCTTCTCCCTCGTTTATCTTTCTCCCAGGGATATGGCTTCCAGCCGAGCTACGACGGCGATGAACTCTCCTTCACCGTGAGGAATCTCCACAGGAGCACCAAGTACAAGTTTAGGGTAAGCGAGCTGTGCCAGGCGTCAAGTCGGGGCGGCCTATCTGCTGGTTTAATTTAGAAAAGTCAAGTGAGATTGTGTGGGGAGGAGGGCAGGCTTTTCAGGGATGGAGGGGCCGACAAGTCCCACGTTCGCTACGTGACTCATCCATTTACAGGCTTCTGCCAGCGGAGCGGCACGCAACATCAACAGGAGGGCCTCAGTGTTGATCACAGGGAGGATAGGGGTCCCTGCTTCAGAACCACGCTTACTGGGCCAGTAGAACCAAGCATTAGTTCTGAGCTCTGGTGTTTATGTTCCAGCCTCAGAGAACACCTGGGGTCCAGGTAGACCCACTTTCCTCTCAGAGTTAAAAAATTAAATAAAATCTGTTTCAGGCAAAGAGAGAACCAACAAAAGGCAGCGAAAAGTAAATTATCAGAGTAACATCATAAATTCTGAAGAAATAAATACAAATTATAATAATAAATTAATAATAGTTTTGCATATAAAAATCATACTTAATTATTTGCATGTTTTCCCTCCATTCAGCAGCCTAATCGATTTTTTATTTTTTTTTTTTTGCATTTTATTAAAATGTCCAGTTTAACAATGTGAGAAATCCACTTTTTTGGATGATTTAGTCCGTATTTAATACAGCTGGCAAAATAAATTGTCTGCTTCATCTTTTTAAATCAGCATGTTATTAAAGATTAACCCTTCATGTTATGGAAAGACCCGCTTGATACAAGAGAAAACTCCGGTTTTTAAGAAAATGGCTGCTAATCAATTAATCGTTAGTCGATCAATCAGCTTTAGATTAATTAATTAATCGATAACTTGCATCCCTAATATTTGCCTCTATATTCTCATATCATTAACCTCTTTTGGTATTTGCTGTAGTTCCTTCCTGTTAGTTATCGTGTTTTAATGCTTCTCTTTTCCGCCACGATCCTCCAGGATAAGAAACGAAGATATAGACAGTCAAAAAGAAATTGCAGGTTTTACTCAGCAAGCCAAAGAAAATCTGTGTCACGGTTTTCCCAAGCACGAGGCTGAATGCGACATCGTCCAAATGTATTACCACACGCCTCAATTAAAGAAAGCGCTTCCCTGGTTCAAGCTAACGTCTGCACAGTGTGAGGAGAGGCTGGGCGCTGCACTGTTTGTCTTGGTTCACTTTATAAATGAGTTCCGCTCAGCAGATTTCTATAGTACTGCAAACGTTTTTTTTTTTTTTAATGAAATGCAAATGTTACTAAAGCTATGTCGTGGCAAAACTGCATTGCTTGAGGTGTTAAAATGGTTTTGTGTAAAAGTCCGCAGCAGAGTTTTGTTTTAAAATGTGTTGGCTAGCTGTCAGGACACACAAAGGCCTTTTTACAAAGCAAAATGCTGTCTGTTCTGACAGAAAGTATGGCTCTCTGCTTGTGTTTGTGCACTTTAACCAGGTGGCAGCGTACAACTCAGAAGGGAAGAGTAACCCCAGTCAGGTTGTGGAATTCATCACAAAGCCAGACAGACCCAGCTGTCCCTGCAGACCCGTCATCAGAGGAAGAGTCCAGCCCGACAGCTTTAAAATGGCCTGGGGTGAGCTTCTCTTCCAGTTCCCCTTCATAAAACCACTCAGTCTTGCTTATAGATGACAACCTGGCAAGTCCAGTTTACAAATTGCCTTTTCTTATGGAGCTCTGCCTAACAGTAGATGAGACGGATGACATCCAAGGTAGTCTGTAGAGCAGATGACGAATCGTTTTCTCCTCCATTCAGACATCAGCAGGAATCCTTCAAACGCCTCACTGGACAAATATCTTTCAGTGCTCGGTGTTCTTCATCTCTGCTTTCGTTTATTAAACTGAAAAGCACACCTGCGTTTATAAACACCACGCAATTTCTGTAAACGTTGGATCATTGAATAAAATATGTCACAAAAACAGAAGTCAGTGATCCTTATTGCTGCGTTTCAGATCTGGAAATTTAAACGGGGGACAGGAAGTAAAAGCAGCTCTGTGTCTTTCTGTTGATTCAGCGTCAAAATGCCTAAATTGTGCGTCGTGTTGCAGTTGTTTCAACCGTGTTCCGAAAGTAGTGCGTCAGAAAAAAGACGACAGTGGATCAACAAGCTCCAGCTAAAAACAGGAGGTGTGGAAACGAACAATGCCAGAGTTTGCAGCGAGCACTTTCTAACAAGGATCGTATCGTTTAAATCATGTTTTCAGATATTTTATTGGACAGTTGGGTTTACAGAAGCTAAATAAATTATTTACAAATAGATCCAAGCACATAGAGATAACAGGGATTAGCTCGTTGTTAGCATTAGCGACAGCATTGTTATCATAGGCTAATACTCACCTGGGCAGAAACAAGTCAACAGACATTTAGCTTCTTTGGATCCTAAATGTTTGACCCAACCTGAAACTAAATAATTGTAGCTTCGAGGCTTTTAGAAACTTTCATCTGGCTCGTCATATAATACGAGGTCTGCAGCTCCAGATAGTTTATGTCGATCGCCTCGACGTCAGTAAATCCTCCAGATTATATGACGTCTTTTTATGAAGACATTATGGATCAGATCTTAAAGGTACGAGCATTTTTTGCGATATCTTGTCTGTGCCAGCCCATTTGTAGCGTTAGCATACTCGCTGTGATCAATTTCACTGTTTTGCTCCGGAGCAAATCACTTCCTGAATTTCATGTGTCATTCAGGTCACATGACTGCAACCCAGCAATTAACACATGTTCTATTTACAATGAAACTTTGTAAACAGAAATGTTGCAACTATAAAAAGGTCATTTTGAACCTTACAGCTGCAAAAAGGTAAAAAATATAATAAAGTTTTAGAAGTAGGAATTATTGAGTTGATAAAACATTTATGATGAGCTTTTGACATTTTCAAAGGCAACATGTCCCCTTTCTAAACTGGGAGTTCACCAGATTTATTACCAGATTTATTGCCAGAAGAATCTGTTTCTAAACTAAATAAAAGAGAGAGAAAAGTGGATAACCAATAAAACAGTTTGTTGTCTTTAATAATTCTGTTTTTTTTTCTCTCCTGCTCACTCAGAGCCCCCTAAAGAAAATGGTGGCGCTGAAGTCACAAAATACGTTGTGGAGCTCTCAGAAGGCTTAAGTGGTTCGTCACACAAAATAAAACGACTTTTTATTAAAAACTCATCATTTTATTGTGCTGATTTTAATAAACCTTCACGTTTCGTTTCTTAGGTTTGTCATGGGAGCTGGCGTACTCGGGGCCAGCTCTGGAACACGTGTGTGAGGGCTTGAAGCCCGGCTGCTCGTACCAAACACGAGTTTACTGCATAAGTGAGGGGGGGCAGAGCCCGGTGAGTCACTCGGGACCGGCACCAAGCTCATGTGGATGTTTGCTGCTGCGTGCTTTCTGCAGAAATTCATAACAATTTATTTAAACTGTCAAGATTCTTTTTTTTAATAAATGTAAACATTTTTTTAAAGTAATACAAATGCAAGGATAGCTGTTGCCAAAAGGAAAAGAAAATTATTTTTTCTGTCTGTGTGTGTCTGTTAGTAAAATATCTCGTGAACAAATTGACAAATTTTAATGAAACTTTCAGGAAATAATCACTGGATTTACAGCTACAGCTGATTATATTGTGGAGCTAACCCGTTTCCAAATGTCTGCCACAGCCAACCGAGCTTAGAAAACACAATAATATGCATTTTATCTGCGTTAGGTTTCCGTATGAATTTGTCATTCAGTCATTCTCCTAAGGTGGGAGATTAGAATATGCTTTGTTGTCTGTAAGTACAAGACAAGCCGACTAATCAATTAACCCTCCCTGAATTAGTCAGAGGATGTTTTTCTTAATTAGTTCAGTGCAGACTCTCTTCATTAATTTCTCTATCAGTTCTTGGCTCATGCGTTTATTTGCAACAAGGCTGGTAAAAAATAAATAAAATAAAATAAAAATCCATGAGTCATCGTGGCGAGTTTTAGCTTTCTCCACGCGGCACAATGTGACACAGCGCTCACGTTTTGCTTCGTCACGGAAGTTGAATTTATTTTTTGCCCGTGTGATAATCTGCCTAACTTTATCCATGAAGAGCACATTTCCCCATACGCGTGTGCACCTCACGTTTTGTCTTTTCACTGGCCATGCTGGAGCCTGAATTGGCGTGATAAGCGAGTGAAAATGAAAAGTACAATCCTGCGTCTCCTGTAAGGACGAATAGTGTGAGATTGTCTGTGTTTTATTTATTTATTTTTTTTTTTTGTGGGTATTAATTGGTTTGTTATATTTTTTTATCCAAGCTGTCGGAGACCCTGCAGGTTCAGACTCCTGCTGTTCCCCCAGGGCCCTGCCAACCCCCTCGGCTGGTGGGCAAGCCCAAAGCCAGGGAGGTGCAACTGCGCTGGGGTGAGTCATTCTTCACAAACTTAGCGCTGTGTGGGATGCATTTCTAGCTTCAACTCATGCATCTATTTGTCTGCCGAAGCAACGTGAAAATGATGAGCAGTGATTTGCACGTTGGTTCCCTGTTCTCTACGTTTTTAAAGAGTAATTCATTCGTGTGATTGAACCTCTCAGGCCCACCTCAGGGAGACGGAGGAAGCCCAGTGACCTGCTACAGCGTGGAAGTGAGTGGAGCCCAGTCTGAGGAGAGCAGGGAGGTGTACCAGGGTCCAGAGCTGGACTGCTCTGTGGGAGGATTAATGCCTGGGAAAACCTACAGCTTCCGACTCAAAGCAGCAAATAAGGCCGGGGTGAGAGACTTTTAATGTGGACTCACCGAAAACTAGTGGCAGAATTTTACATTTCAGTAATATTAGAAAGTATTTATGTTAATTATTGTCTAATTTTGCACAGTTTGGGCCTCTGTCGGAGCGCTATGAAGTCACAACAGGGCCTGGAGCACCTGAGCCGTGCAAAGCCCCTTCGACGACGTGCAAGTCTCCCAGTTGTGTTGTTGTGAGCTGGGAGGTGAGACTGGCTTCTTTTCTTTTTGCTTTTACCAACATTCATTTAGATTAATATAACATCTGAGAATATAATAAACAAAGTGCAGCATCTTTTCATAACCCCACAGTAACTTTATTATCCAAGCAACAAAAAATGGCTACATTTTAATAAATACAATTAGTATAAAAACATAAAGATAAAAAAGAGATTACTAAGTCAACGTGAAGCCGACAAACCAAAAACAGTCAGTGTTTAAAGATTATAACTTAAAATTGTTTAGCAGAAAACTCTGGTGGTCACAAGATTTATGTTGGAAATATGACAATTAGAACTGAATTTGAGGAAGAACGAAACAACTTTACGGAGATTTATTCAAAAAGAACTAAAGGAAAATAAGAAACGATTAAATGATGTCATGCAGCAGGTTGCAGGTCTGCATGGGTTACAAAGAAAGCACGGGGGTTTTACACAACCTCGGGGCTCGTGATTCATGCAGATTCATACAGAACACTAAACAGCCTCACGGACTCGTGATCAGAGTGAACACAAGTCACACAACTGATGTGAATCCATGACTTAAGATGACCTGATTGCCCAAAACAAAAAGCCAGAACAAAAGTTTAAATGATCCAACAGCCAAAATCAACAAAACACATCAACTGTTCTTTTTAAAATCCTAAAACTTGAACTGTTTTTGTGTAAAAACCATAAAAAAAATGCCAGTTCAGACATGTAATGTTTAACTTTTTGTCAGACTGAGCTGCACAGTTCAGTGTATAATTTGAATATTGTTTTTGTTGTGGCACTTTTAGGCCCCTCCTTGCAACGGAGCTCAGGTGACAGAGTTTCGACTGGAATGGGGAGCAGCTGAAGGCAGCATGCAGGTGTGTTACAGCGGACCCAGTGTCAGCCATGAAATAAAGGGGCTGCTGCCGGCTACCAACTACTTCTGTCGGGTCCAGGTGAGCGTTAACCAACACATGAGATGACATGACATGAGATAATCCTTTAGGTTATATTCTCAAGGTATTGTCATTTTTAAAAAAATCATCTCAACAATGAATAAAGAAAAGTTTTCAACTTAGATTCTACTTTTTGGTCCGACTAAATTTGTGAAGACTTGGTAAGAATGTGTGGCATCTGCATAAACTTTTTTTTAACATGTTGAAGAAAAGTTGAATAACAAAAACAACAAAACCGGTTGAATGTTTGTGTATGAGTACCTGGTACAAGGTTCACTGAGTAGAAAATATTTGAAACGGCTTTTGTTTGGAGCCACATGCTTAAATTTAGGAAAACTTTGTGCTCAAAAACCCACATTTTAACCTCCTTTTTCATAATACTAACAAGTTACTGCTGTGTTTGAAATATGTCTTTTGGAGTACAATAAGCAAAATTTCAAGCAGATAAGAAACAACTTATTTCCATATTCTAAATACTTTATCAGTGTGCATTGCCAATGCAATGCACACTATTATGATTCGTTTCCCATCCAAGTCATCTCAACTTTGCCATGCTTCTCCTCCTGCATACTTTGTCCTAGAGCTGCCATTGTAATTTCTATCTGTAAAGCTCCTGTGCCAAATGATGGCTTTGCCTTTTGGTACCTGTAAAACTTATAGTTTATGAAATATTATTGTTTAAACTTTATTCCAAATTCATATAATGGGAGTCAATGGDRCCTTGTAWTGGTCCAATACTGCCCCCAGCTGTACTCAGCTTGGTACTGCACCATAGTTTTTTATATTTAATCTCAATAGTTCAGTGTTTACAATACTAATATGATTGTATTTTGATGTTTTGCTATAATATTGTCTTAATACTGCTCTATTGTTGAAATATTATGCAATTTATTGTCAATAATTGTAGTGGCAATGTGGCCTCTTTCTGCACACATACAAACCAACCCCTGCCACCACTTTCTGCCACAGCTCCACTGGTCTAATGGTCTATGTCATGGACTTTCATGTGGGAGATCAGGTTTCAAAACCCAGCTAATGCAATTTTAACAAAAAATCTCCTCCAACTTCATATTGTCACACAATTACCTTAATTACAAAAACCTGCTGATGTGACAGGCACAACCTGGTGTAAAAAACACATTTGAACTTGGTCAAAGTTCATTCTGCAAGTCCAATGCTGCTGCAATGACATGCTACATGGCAATGCACACTTGTTTTTACATCGTAAAAACCCATGTCTAGTTTACTTTGTTTTAATAAACTGATGTTTGGAACAAGTCGATCTAATTCCTAATGTGATAATCGAACATCTTTGCGAGAAAAAAAATGCTGTTTATGAAGCAACAGAAAGTCTGTTTTTATGCTTTTCTTGTTTTGTTGAAGGTCAGTTTTTTAATGAAGTGCTTCCCTGTAACATGGTTTCCTTTTCAGAGCGTTTCCACCATTCCTAATAAAACCCATAGGCCACCTGTTTGTTTGTTTGTTTGAAATCTTTACATCAGAACTCCCCCTTGTGGTCAGCCGTGAGTGTTGCATGTGTGTCCTGATGTCTGACTCGCTCTGGTCACGCAGGCTGTAAACGTGGCCGGCGTGGGGCCCTTCAGCGAGGCGGTGCTGTGCCAGACGCCCTGCTCCGTGCCAGCAGCTGTCAGTAACATCTCCGCGCTGAAAGAGTCGGAGCTGCTGAAGTACGAGACTCCAGCAGACGAGGAGGAGGACGAGGAGGAGGACGAGGACGGCGGCTTTAGCCCGCCGCCCGTCTTCTCTCCGTCCACCTGCCTGGGTATCTGCTGGGACCCCCCGTGTGACCACGGCTCAGAGATCACCTCCTACCTGATCGACCTGGGAGAGAAACAGCCCGTCGTCGTGGGCCCCGTCACCAAACACATCATCCAGCATCTGCAGCCTGACACCAGCTACAGGTGGGAGCGCCACCGCAGCCACACATTGTTACACATGAAGCACACAGGTTTAAACTCTGCCGATGATTGTGTGTTTGATCTTTTTATTACAAAACTCAGAGGTGATATTTCATTAGAGAGTTTAGCAGGTTCGTTGTCTGTAGAATCAGCCTGTTTTATTCTGGATTCAGTGATAGATGTCGTTTCTTTTTGCATCTGTTAAGTGATCTCCATAGAGGGAAATGAGGCCTTAAAGACTTACTGTTCTCATACAATATACAAGAATTTTGCTTTGTTTAAAAGGCACAAAATATATTTGGTTGCATTTGTTAACACAAGTTACTGAAATGGTTGCTGTTTAAAAAAACAATTGTAGAGTGATTAGAGTTAATAAATTCATAACGTTTAAATTCAAGTTCATAAGTTGGATATTTATGTTGTGTTTGATAATAAATAGCCCTGTGAGGAATTCTTTGTAAAGCTAATAAAAAGTAAAAGGTCCGTGGAAATAAAATTCTTAGTGAAATTAAAGAGGAACTATTGTTTCATCGATGCATCTGTGTGCGATACAAAACATGTTCATTAGATTTAACGCACAAAATCATTTTCAGATAATGAGATTTCACCTGGTCAGTTCTGCCTGGACTGAGCTGCTTTCACAACGAGCTGTTTATACAAATAAGCTGCTGTTGGCAACGCCCTCCCTACCTTTTTGGTGTTTTTTTTTTATGACATCGCCATAATCTGCAGATTTGTGACAAACAGTAATAGGGACAGATGAAATCCTTGGGCAAATCCTGCTGTGTACTCTTAGTTGTCCATTGTAAAATTATTTGCGCCAGCTACAACTTTCTTTGGTAATATCGCAGCGACATTGCCATCATTTTGTCATTTGGTCTCTAGAAGCAGTAAAGACCCAAATTAAAGTATAAAAACATGTAAGAGGAGAATTAAAAATAACAGGTCCCCTTTAAGATTATTTCATCCAGAAACAACTCTGGTTAGCTACATTTTTTTAACCTTGTGAACTGTTTTGACCCTGCATCTAAAAAAAACATCTGAATCAGGAATAATTGGGAGTCAGAATCGAAACTGGGATCTTTAAAAGTCAAACCCTGCTGAACTCCCAGTAGTAATATGTTTACCTGTATTCTTGGCTGTTTTGCTTCTGTGCAGGTCCATAAAGCTTTTGTGTTCTTGCATAAACTCAAAATTATTCAGTTTACCGAGTAATTAATCCTGTAAAATGGCATTTTTTAAATAAAAAAAAAATTCAGAATTTCAAATAAACCTTTTCTGGGGGTTGGTGTAATCTCACAGCTCTTACATATAAACCAGGCTGAAGTAGAATTATGTGAGAAACAGATAAAAACCTGAAATCTGTTAAAACCCTTAAAGCTGCTTTGAAAGTCCCTGCAGTGTTTCAGCATCTCGACGAAACCTCTGCTTCTCCTTTCTCTCTCTCAGGATCCGAATCCAAGCCCAGAATAGTCTGGGAACGGGACCCTTCAGTCACACCTTTAAGCTAAAGACGAAGCCCCTTCCCCCGCAGCCCCCCCGCCTGGAGTGCACCGCCTTCAGCCACCAGACCCTCAGGCTCAAATGGGGCGACGGCCCGGCCAAAGCCGCCACCTCCGACGCCCTCCAGTATCACCTGCAGATGGAGGACAAGAACGGCAGGTGTGTAGTCCAGATGTCAGGGGAGATTCACGTTGTCTTTTTTTGTTTCTCTTTTTGTCCGTTTGTATGAAATCTCATTAATTCTGCATAAGTTGTGCAATTCTTTAGCCATATTTATTTTAAAAAGTTGAATTCATTCAAAGGATGGCTGCTAAGACTTATCCTTTTTGTAACCTTTATACTTTTTCAAATATTTAACTTAATTTAAAAAAGCTTTTTAGGCTTTAAGCTACTATTCTGCTACTTTTAGATGCATTTAACTTTTATCTAACGTTTTGCTCGTGTTTTTTCCTTCAGATTTGACAACTCGGTTCTTCAGTGATGTAACTGTTTTTCCTTATTTGCTCTCATCTTATTAAATCTTTTCTCTCTCCCCCTTTTTCTCGGCCCGTTGTTGCAGATTTATATCCTTGTACAAAGGACCGTGCCACACACACAAAGTCCAGAGGCTTAATGAGTCTACCTCTTACACGTTCCGCATCCAAGCCTTTAATGAGGCGGGCGAAGGGCCCTTCTCCAGTGTTTACACATTCACCACCCCACGCTCTCCTCCAGCTCCTCTGAAAGGTACCGCTCCACTTTTCTCCTCTTCTCACTTTATTTTTCTTCCTTTTTTTCCCCTCCTCTATTCTGTGTCCAACAGTTCTTAATGAAGTGGTAAGAATTTACCTCAGACGGCCGGTGTGCTTAGCTCTCCGGCTTGTCGGCTGTCATCAGGAGACGGCCGTTCAGCCCTGTGGTCTGTTTGCTGCCAGCCTCTGTAAAAGCCTCTTTTGATCCCACACAGCAAAGAGCAATAATGAGGATGTGGGCTTTGTGGTCAGAGGAGCAGCTCTTTTGAATCTGGGCGTCATTTGCCAGATTGTCAGTGTTGTTTTAACGCTGAGTGAAGGGCGTCCTCGGGTTATAAACGCTTTAAATTTAGACTGAAGGGTTCAGTCGAAGTCCGTACGTCATAAATGACTAAACTGGACTGTTTTGTAATTATCACATGTTAACAGCATAACTACTAGAGTGAATTAATGAAGTTATTGGTAAAATAGAAAGAATAAGGAATAAGATGTAGATTAAAGAGGACATTTTATGTTTCATTGAACAAGTTGGGATGCTGTACAAACTCAAAATTGAAGCATAAAAATGTAAGCATTTAATTTTGCATAATATGTCCCCTTTAAAGGGCCTGTGACATCAAATTTTTGTAATACATATGAGTGCATTTTTAGAAAGAGTACATTGATAAAATATTGCAAAATAAATTTCATGTCGCTGAGATGAACAGTTGTTGAGATATTTGCCTGTGAAGTAACAGGAAGTGATGTCAAAGGGGAATGTCTGCATGTGAATAAATCAGTGCTACAACAGCCAACAACCCAGACTATAGAGAAGAATCTGATGTTTAAAAAGATTATTTTGAGTCTGTCAGAGATGAAGAGTCAGAGTTCAAATAATATTGTTTCAATAAACAAAGACCAGAGAGTTTTTTTTGTTGTTGTTGAAAAGTTCCCCTTTGATGTCACTTCCTGTTTCACTTTGACTGAGCCAAGTTCAAAAGAAAGTAGTTTGTCTTCTTCCCGCTCCTTTTCAAGTTAAATCTATATTCTGGTTTACGATTATTTATGTGAATTGTTGCTCGAAAAAGGAGTAAACTTTTTTTTGGTCTTATTTTGTTAATAGAATATTTATTGACTTTATACTGATTTAAACCATTATTTATTGTTGTTGAATTTAATGTTATTTTTGAAAATGGGGGGCAGATATAAGATTTTTTCTTCTTCTGCTGCCTTTCATTTTATTTTTTCATTTTATTATTTTGTTTTTTATGTTTTTTGAATGCATTTTGTTTTTGTTTTTTTAATGAAATGAATGAATAAATTTTAAAAATATGCCAGTTATGGGACAAAATGGGTAAAACTGTGTGTATTGTTCCAACTTTCTTAAATATAAAGATGTTTTCTTTACTTTTTGTATTTGAAGAATATGCATGTGGCAGGCACTTTTAAGAGTTGCACAGTTCTACAAGTGAAATGCTACTTTAGGGAAAAAAATCACAACAGTTTTACTTTGATGATATTAGTTACAGAAGACATATTTAGAACAAAAAAACTGTGAAAAACTTAAAATCAAAGCTCACCTCAGTTTTTCTGTTTTCCACCTTCAGCCCCTAAAGTCGAGCGTTTGGACGACAACTCCTGCGAAGTGGCGTGGGAGGCCCTGCCGCTCATGAAGGGGGACCCGGTTATCTACAGCCTGCAGTGCATGATGGGAAACACCGAGTTCAAACAGGTACTGGTGTTGCCGAGCCTTCGGCCCCGCCCCGTTCCCTTCGGCTGACCCGTTCATGGCTGAAACAGATGAGTTCAGGGTTTTAATGTTTTCATTCGGGCTTGGCAGCAGTTTATATTGTCACCGCTGGTTTTAAATTGCCCATTATGCAAAGGTCATTGATCCACGAGGCCTCTCAGGTGTCTTGCCCCCACCGGCACATCCATCCCTCATGCTGGCCTGCAACCATGTTAACATGGAGTAATGGCCGCTGCAGATTTATGCTAATCTCACCACATCTCATGACAATCGAATCTGCAGGTTGAAATATGTGGCTGTCCTTGTTTGTTTCTGCTTCTGAAGACACTCACTGGATTAAAAAAAAGCTTGTTTTTAATGGAAGAGGACTGTTTGTTTACTGGAAAAACAAACAGATTTTGTACAAATGATAATTTTTCTTCAAGTTTGAAACAGCCTATAATTTTCTCTGCTTGTTTACAAAAGATTTCTTCTATCATAAAGGTCAGTTGGGATTTATTTGTTTGTTACCGTGAAGATTCATATGTTTATAGCAACAAACGTCCTTTTTAAAGTGTTTTCTGTTCAGTCACCCATGTCCACCAATACAGGGCTATTCAGCTCAGTCATTATGTAAATAAACCAAGTATTATAAAGATCTGTTACCTTTAAAATAGTTTATTTCCTGCATTTAATTATGAATACAACATAAAGAACCCAATGTAATAAAAGTAGTGATAATAAAACATCAAAAACAGAAATAACGCAATGCCTCCTATTTAACACTAATATTATTTTGACATCTCTGACTTTTAAACCAATTTCATTTTCACTTTCATAGTTTTATCTTGAACTGCTTGTAGTTTTAACTGTCTTGGATGTTCATAGACATGATTTTATCAGCTCCTAGCCAAGTTTCTGACATTTCTGTAGATACCAAACATGTCTATGTTGAACTAAAAGAACTTATAAGAATTAATTTGGGCTTAAAGTGGCTGTGACATCAAATTTTTGAGATAAAAATGAATGCGTTTTTGTAAAAGATAACATTGATAACATATTGCAAAACAAATTTGACGCCGCTGAGATGAACGGTTGTTGAGATATTTGCATGTGAAGAAACAGGAAGTGATGTCAAAGGGGAATGTCTGCATGTAAACAGAGTGTTGCTACAACGGCTAACAACAGACTGTAGAGAAGAATCTGATGTTTTCTTTAGATTATTTTGAGTTTCTATCAAAGAGAGATGAAGACGAGTTAAAGTTAAAATTATACTGTTTTAATAAACAAAGACCAAAGATTTTATTTTATTAATGAGTTCCCCTGTGATGTCACTTCCTGTTTTACTTTGGCTAAGACAAGTTCAAAAGAACATAGTCCAGGTATGTGACAAAGTGGGTAAAATCATGTTTATTAGGGAAATCTTAAGTATAAAGATGTTTTCTTTGACTTTTTGTATGTGAAGTATAGGCACGCCACAGGCACTTTAAGAGATAAATGAGACCCATTGTTGGGCCGAGCTTGGTTCATTCGTGGGCCAGATGAGGCCCGCGGGCCGCCAATTGAATAGCCCTGCCATAAAGCATCACTTGCCTCCTTTTATTTTCTGCTCCTAGGCATACAAAGGTTCTGCCACATCCTTCCACGTCCCAAACCTCCAGCCCAACAGTGACTACCGTTTCCGGGTCTGTGCTATCAGGCAGTGCCAGGACAGCACAGAGCTGAGCGGTCCCTACAGCCCCACCGTGACCCTCCCCCCTCAGCGCAACGACGCCGCGCCGGCTGCCAGCGCCGGATCCAGGACCAGCGCCGAGACCAACCGAAGCCGACAGAGCCTGACGGACGAGCAGTGCGCTTTCCTCCTCCTCATGGTCTTCGCCGTCATCGCCATCCTCATCGCTTTCGTCATCCAGTACTTCGTCATAAAATGAGGGGTTTCCCCGCTCCGCCCAGCTGCAGGGTTATAGCTTTATTCTCCCCATCTCTCTCCGTCTCTGTTGGTTTTCTATTCTTTCGTTTTGTACTTTAACTGTTCTCCGGTTTCAACAGAGTAATCACGTTAGCTGAAACGGCGGGGTGCAGCGAGAGGACGCGCCGGTGGGTATCAGCTGAGATTTATAAATCAAGGATGCGGCGTCTCGTTCTGCACCTGCGATACCTTCCGGACCCCTCTTGGCTTTTTATCACCCCGCCCCAAGTTTGTGCTAATATTTCTGATTCATACGGATTAGCCTCCTGTGCAGAACGGAACTCAGAAAGCAAAGTGTGGTTCATTTTAGGGGCAGAGTTGGCATTTATGTTCAAAATATTTAAAAAAATACAATATTTATAATCCCACGTCCGTGTAAGAAACAGTTTTTGATAAACGTGTTCCAAATAAAAAAATAGTCTGTGTGCTATTTGACTGTGGGACCTGATGGGCCAGTGTTTGCACAGTGTGTGTTCAGACGTGTGTGTACTGTATGTAGTTTGTGACGCAGCAGAAACGGCTGGGAGGGCTTCAGGGCTACGTGGGGGGTCTTAACTAACCCGAACCCTCACGCAGGAGTTTAAGGAGTCCAGGAATTAAAATTAAAAAAAATAAATTTAAAAAAATCCTGCTATAGAGCGTTCATTTAGCACTTTCCAACCTTTTTGATGTTCAGAATGTTTAAGGATGCAAAAATGACTGGAGAAATGTTAGTATATTTTTGTACAGTAAAGACACAAGGATCTGTAGGTTTGCAAAGATAAAAAAAAAAGAAGCTAAAAGTATAAAGTTAGAAAACAAAAAAACTAACAGTGAATTCTAATTATTTTTACTATCATGTAGTTATACTGTAGCTTGTTTTTACAATCATGCAGCTGCTTTACTCTGAAATATTGTTGTTTGGCACAAAAATGTATGCTTTTCTTGTACGTTTTGTTTTATTCTGTTTTTTCCCTTGGTAATTGATTTTTTGCACCTTAGTGGAAGAAAATCTTGACTGACTGCTTTTTCTTTTCTTTTCTTTTTGTTGTCTTGTGATGCATTTTATAGACACGTTGAGATTGTGCAAGCCCTTTTTGGTGTTTTGGGTGTTTTTAAAAGTTGTAGTATCACAGTACGTGTCACTGAAACGGCTAATCTATCAGCAGGAAGAAGAAAAAAAAAACAGGAAAACAATAAACAGAAAAAAAATATGAACCAGTTGTTTCGGAGGCCTTAATTGGAGAGAAAAACAATGATATCTGGTGATTTTTGTTTATTTTCTTTTAAGTTTTGATGTTTTCCTTTTTAGTGTTAGAAAACACTAAAATGCATTTTATTTCCTTTTACTTTGCAGCATTCGTTCGGTGTTAGTTAACACATGTAATCATGAGAAAAATGAAAAGTAGTTCTTTTTTTTGTTGTTGTTTTTGTCAGGTCATACATTCGTGAAGTATATTTTTTATAATATTGAAGTAATATAAGTTAATACTCCACAGAAGATGATAAATCCTCAGTCGTCACGAATCACAGGACACAAATGACATAAAAAAATGTGTTTTCATGCAAATTTAAATTTGCCTTTTTTCTCTGTACGTTGAGTATTTGTAACAGGTTGCTTGAAGTGACTCGTCGGTGGTAATCTGTAGTGCTGTTTGCGTCCCGGCAGGGGTCAGGCTGTGAGAATGAAAACGCGGGTACCTTGCAAAAACGTCCGCAACATAATTACATGATTTGGTCCCAGTAGACATTCTGCAAATGTCTTTGTCCTTTTGAAGAAGTCAAAAGTCCTATTTTTGATAGTGGATTGCAAAGTGTGCCATTTTAACACCTCTTCACCCAAACGGTTGGAGAGATTAACAAAATGCTACAAAAAAAAGAGTAAAATATGCACAAAAATAGACCATTTTTATGTAATTTTAATGTTTGCAGTTACCTCATACACCGTACATTCCAAAAAGAAAAATTTGCTATACTATACATACTACCAGACATATCACTTTACAATGTTCATTATGGGAAAAATGTATAATCATAGATATGTATCTAAAGTGTATCTGTATAGCCATGATACTTACAAAGGATCCATGCACAATAAAAGATTTATAATTCTTCATCATCGTTGAAGTTTTGAGCCTGTTTTTTAATCTTTTATTTTATTTTTTATTTTTTGTGGTTCCTCGTTGGTCGGAGCACAGAGGGGTCTAAATGAGCAGCGGGGGCTTCAAACAGAAACATTCGGTTCAGTCGGGCTTTTTTTAAATTCTGCAGCCTTCGTTAATTACATGTAACAGTGTTGCTCTCGCATTCAAAGGCTCGCTTTATTTGTGTTGCTGCATAAATGACCTGGGAAACTGTTTACCAAAAACAATAACAAAACTAGGAGATCCAAATGATTTAATCTCTAGAGCTCTACGGTCCTGAATTAATATTTTAAAAAACCTGAAACACAATCTGTTGACTTCCTTGTACAACATATTTAAAATTTACCATGATTATTGAATTGGGTTTGTTTGTAATGCTGGATGCGATGCTGTGGATTAATGCTACAACACCAGTTCTAATGAATTTGGGACGTTGTGTAAAAAAAAATACAATCTCTTAAAAATCCTTTTTAACTTATATTCCAGGGCTAATCAACTAAATTGATAATGCAGTGAATGCAGGCCGAACATCCAGCAATTAATGTCATTATGTAAATAAACCAAGTATTAATCATGAATACAACATGCAGAACCCTATGTAAGAAAAGTAGTAGTAATAAAAATATCAAAAACAAAAACATTTGGCGGGACGAACTTTGGTCACACATGGGCCTCATCTGGCCCGCGGGCCATTAGTTGAATAGCCCTGCTATGTACAGTTGAATACACTACAAAAATGAGATATTTAATGCTCAGATGAATATATTGTTTTGTATACGGTAGAGTTTTATATATTTATACTTCTCATTCAACCACAATTTATATGGATAGTATTTATTTTTTAAAATAAGCTGGAATGAAAACAAGCAAAAATGAAATAAAAGTAACAACTTTCTACTTCTTGTCTTTTTTTAATGTAAGGAGTAGAAAGTACAGATAGTTGTGTGAAAATGTAAAAAGTAGGCTGAAAAATAATTACTCAAAATAAAGATACCCAAAAATTCTACTTAAGTACAGTAAAGTATTTGTACTTTGTAACACCTAAATAAGTAGTAGGTAGTTTGGACAGTTTTAAAGTTACATTTTATTGCAATAAACCACTAACCCCAAAATTTAATTGCATTCTTTTGGTTATAAATATAGTGCTGAGTTACTATTGAATAGTATTTTGATTGTAGTTACCCAATTAAGGTAGTTATAGTAACAGTAGTTTTTATTTTGTACCCTAATTACCACCTAATTACATGGTAATAAGGTAGTAATTACATTTTTTTATTACCTTGTAATTACACGGTAATAAGGGTACTATAAGTGTTACCGTTACTTTATAACTCTGACCTTGTTTCAGGTCATTTTATGTCACAGCTCCTGACAGTTCACTGTGTTTCCTTTAAACTGAGCATTTTTATATTTTTAGATCATCTCTGTAGCTCTTCATGATTCCAAAAGCTGTGATTTTGACAGCGTTTTACAGTGAAAGAGAAGTTGTTGCAGTAATGTCTGTTTATCAGCTGAAGGTTCACGGGTGTTTTTGAAACAATTTTGATCATTTCTGCTTCCGTAGCTTTTTCGTTCCATCTGTTTATTCCAGTCTTATAAAGGAAAAGTTTCTATCCTTTAAAAAAAATAAGAAAATCAAAAACCTCTTCAGTTCATTTTCTGTCTGCAGCCCAAACAAAACGCAGCCATCTCAGATCAGAATGATGGAGGAGATAACCTGACTCGTGTTGAGAGACGGGTCAGAACCCACTGAGAGGAAACACTCGTTCTGCTCTGACGTGAGCAAACTGTCGACCCTCTGAGACCCGAGAGCTTCGTCCAGTTCAGGTTCAGCTCAGAGGAAACAAACAGCAGAGTGAGGGACCACTGGTTGACCAGTGACCAGTGACCAGTGACTGGTGAGAAGAACACTGGCTGTTGGGCAAACATTTACACCATGATGCACTGGTTGTGGAATGTTGATTTTTCTTCCATTATTTGTACACTTTTTATGGAGGACCAAACCTGTCGTAATTAGAAATAAAAGCAGAAATATATAAATGGACCAATAAATAAATAAATACACTTAAAATGCACCAATTAAATAAAAAAAGGTGAACTTTACCTCATGTTTTATAATTTCATTGATCATCATATTTATTTTTCCAGCTTAATTCCAATAAATGATATATTTTAGCACATAATATTTTACTG